GGCTACTCTCAAAAATCCCCTACAAAATGTTATTTGGAAAGACATTGGAGGACAGATAATTACACATTTTTGTAGAACCTGTGTCTAAATTACAGTTGAAACAGAGACTAAATCCTTGCTTTCTCTCTGGCTCCCAAATAATGAATGAATGCCCCACACAATGAGAATAACCGTGGATTTAACTCATTTTGATTGTGAGACATGATATCTACATTACTACAGTATAGTCTTATAAAGGCTGTGGTGCATGAACATTACAGTTATTTTTTGGCTGGGTCTGGTTCCTGATTCTCAATGGGATGGGTGCAGTGCTGTGTTCTGTAATCCTGATTATTTGGTTCCGTTGCCACCGGGGCGGGGCAGTTACCATGTCTGCAGTGGCAAGGGATTCCCCTCAAATGATGGGCTTGAGGCAGGCAGACACACCCCGGTGCCCAGTGCTGCAGAGACACTGGCTGGGTGAGGGGCAGCTCTCTCTCTGACTCGGCATAAATCTGAAGGGGTGGAGCCCAGCCCCCCCCCCTTCGGCATTAATACCCACTACTGCCTGGTCCTAGAGAGCAGAGCGTGGCCTTTACTTTAAACGTGGTGACAGCTTACTTGTTGACTCTTGGGAGTTGAAGCTGATGTCGAAGAAAGTTCCACTAATCTTGCTTTCTCTTTTATTAAACGCAACCACTGCCCTGTACAGCTTGGACTTTCATGCTGAGGATACTGCTCCATAGAACTTATTGAAAGTAAACTTCTACTGTCTTAATATTTTGTAATCAGAGATATATTGACCAACAATGTTGACAGAAAGTCTTGTAATATCACTGTTACTAAGTTCAAACACAATGAGGTTTACACACACACTGATATAGAGAGATGCAGCCTTTGTGATAAACGCTGCCTGTGAAATGGTGCACTACGGGCGGGCCTGTGCTGCATCTTGGCAGATGCTGCGGCACGCCTCTGTGTGGGAACCTGCTGCAAGAGGTCGAGGACGCAGGGATGCGGGTTGCTACACAGCATTGATTAATACCAAGCAGCCCATCATGCTAAAGTGTGCTCACAGAAAAACGACCATTTGCTGCAATATGACACCTAGATAGCTTTCTGGAATGATGTCCGTCCACCAACACCCACGTCTGGAAGGTGGACGCTTCGTATGTTGTGCGCTGCTTCTGCGCAAATCGATTGCCATCAACCTTCAGCCAACATTGCTTTCAATGCACCAAATGAGTGTCAAAAGAAGGACACTGTCTGGTAGTAGTCAATATCAAGCTAAGTAAAAGTGGTATTTCATATTAAACCAATGGCCCGTTATTCCTCGTGCAAACCGGAACGCGACCATCAGCCTACGATGTCATTCTCATCCTCATGTTACCACCTAGCTCGTCCTCCGTTCCGCCACTATGCGCACCTTCCGACGGGCTAATTTTGATATTATTTATCGTAAAGCCCACGTTTGGCCCCGAAATACGATCAAATCACGTATTATCGATATGTGTGTGATAATTCCCCCCCGGTTCTTTTACAACCGAGCTGTCTGGCCGTTTTTTAAAGGAGCCTGGTCAAAGGCACCGCCCCAAGATCAAACAGACCGCACTTCATCCACAATCCACCGCATTACACCGCTGATAAAAGCCTTCGATTTACAGCATATTAGTTATTCCAATTCACCTTATCATATCGACATGGTCTCTCTAATACCGGAAATGTACGGAAAATGCTGATAATATGAGCACAGGCTTTACGGGCCTTACAGCCCTGTTTGAATATATGTTGCCCAAATCGTATTTTGGCACTACTTTTTCCTGCCCACAATTATGTCCAAGCCATAAACGTAATCTTTAATCATAACTTTCATACACCATATTGCGTGTCTTATTCGCTTTAGGGTCAAAATGTGCTCGAACACAGAGGCATAGCCCCTTGTCTGCTGCCCTAATGCTAGGTTAGCAAGCTTTTACACACCTCTCACAAATGCACACACATATTGATGAAGCTAATAATAAACATATTTTTTAAGAGAAAATGTCATTACATAGGAAGCCCACTTACCGATTTCATGGCAGCTGCCATATCATCATACCTCTCCGCTTGCTCGGCCAGCCTGGCTTTCTGCACCAGTTGCTCGCGGTCTACCATTTTAGATATGGTGTGTGTTTGCTGTCCTATGTGTTTCGGAAGTAAAGATCGTTAATATGAATGTTTGAATGCAGAGAAACGGGTACCGGGTCCTTCTCGCTGCAGCTGCTGCCTGCTGTCTGTGTGCCTGCCGACGGGACACCCCTCCCCCTCCGAGCACTTTCCCTCGGTTTTGTCACCACCCAAAAAGGCGTGTCTTAACGGAGTGATGTAACGAGCCTGGCAGTCCAGAGAAAATGATAGCACAGCCTATTTCCCTACAGCCAGGCAATGTAGGGTTTACACTGCACATATGCAAGTAAAAGGAGGTTTGTTATAGGGTTGACTTGTACTGTAGTGCATGGCTTTATCAAACTTTCCAAGTAGGCCTGCAGTGACTTGACTACTATCAGGGCGAATGCTAAACACACTGGGCCCCAGAGCCCCATCGCCGGCTCATAAGGCCAAGCTTTGACTTGAAGAATATGCTCATCTAGTCAAGTACAATACCAACTGAGATGAAACAATTCATTTGTAAACAAGCTTGATTTCAAATACAAGTACAAACATTAAACATAATAGAGATTTGTGCAATGGAATACCCCAATAAACTATCCAAAGGAGCCTGACACTTAACACAAAGTATTTACAATATGTATTATTACTAATCGGAGAGAGTTTGTTTAATACAGAAACATTTACATTTAGACTCCAACACTTAAAACTAAACAAATACCATAAAAACTGAACTAATCTCATCCTGACTACTTAACGGCTTAATTAAATCAGTCTTGATTTAAAACAGGTAAGATATAATAAACAGTAGACATATGACTAATGGACAATGGTACTCATTTAATGTATTTTAGAGTAAAGTAATTTCAAGATAGACTGTGTACCTGTCTTAAAGAAAACATTGATGAACAGAGATTCAAATAAAACATGTGTAGCTGATAAAGAAGAGACACACCTGTGACCACAGAGCATTTCATATCTTATGTTTGACATCACTGCAACGTTGTTGCTTGGCAGAGGAAAAACAAAGGGGCAGGCAAATTATCAATTAAAGAAGAACTTCTACAACGATTGATTATTCGTTTTTTATTTCACAGATCAATTTAACTTTTACTTTAAGAATATTAAAATAGTATTTCGTTTTTTCTCATGCAGTTTAAATTATTTTTAAAACCACCTTGTAACCATGGATATGCCATTTTGGGTGAGTGTAGTGATTATAGTTATGAAGCAGGCTCATAAAATGTCATCAAAAGAGTAATTTTCTCTTGAGTTATCAGAACAAACTGTCGATGAAAAATCCTTTTAGCTCCTTCTCTGTTTACCCAATTCCTTTTAGGTGTACACATATATATTTATTGCTGATTCAAAATGGCATCTTAAAATATTGTATCTAACGATATTTTGATTAAGAATTAATTGAACTTTTCTTCAATTCACTAATAAGACAAAAGTTACTTTTGTAATCAAAGTGTATAAAAATGTCTAACTACAGGTAATTTATATATATATTTGTATGTTCTTAAGAATGTTTCGAACTGAAGCTATGATAGCCAAAACAAAAATTTGGTAACATTTTAGAGTTGTTCAATTCCTACAGTAGCATGTAAATAAACTGAATCTATATTAAAAAGGAATTGTACATCTAATATGCTCTCAAATCATTCTAACTGTGAATACTCAGAAATAAAAAAGAAAGAAATTAGAAGAATTATATAGCCACATTTTTAACAATGTTATGGCATGAAAGGGAGGTATTCACACATTTTACTGTTAGATTTGTTTTATTATAGAGAGCATTTAAAGATTAAAGTGAGAAATGACAGCTTTCCCCTTAGGAATTATTATTAATAAAATGTTTATTTAATTAACTTTAGCATACCTGGTCAGTCTAACCATTCTGTGGCCAGTGTAAGCTAACTTTTCAGCAATACCGTTGTCGCACTTCGGAGTCAATTTGCTGACTTCTGTACTGTTTTCACTATTACACTGTTATTATTACATGTGGCCACAGAGTTAGCTCGGTTAGCTACGCACTGTCAGTATTCTTTCGTCCGAATTGGGTGATTCAACTAGCTTTAGTTATTTATATAAAACATTTCTTATTTCGTTTGAGCTCATTGCATTGCATTTAGCATCCCCAAAAATCCTTTCCCTTGAAAACATTTAAATGGTGGTATAGTCATATTTGTGTGCGCAGTTAAAGAAGAATACACAATGGAAGTAAATGTTGAGGCAATGACAAATGCAGATAACGGTTCAAAGACCTCTGTTTTTAGTTAAAAAATATATTAAATACCAAAAAATAAGAACATGTATTTTACCACATGTAGTTACATTTATTCATATTTGGGTTAACATAACACAAGTTTCACATTGTTTATTTGATAGAGAAATGTGATGCATATTCACAAGATATAACACATTTATTTATGTGAGTGTCTGTTATCTTGCAATGTTGTGGTATGTCGAATATCATTTGTTCCATTTAGGTTTCTGTTTGGTATATCATACATATTTGCAAAAAGATTGGAGCTGAAGCCCATGTGTCTCATCATCCAAACTGCACTTCCTCCAGTATTCCTTACCTAACTTAACAAATAATCACATGTACATTACATTTTGTGTTTCTCAAAAAAAAAACTGTGTACATTGTTTTTTATATCATATATTTATTTATAAAGTGCTTAATAGGCATATATAGTTTATAGTATGTCATCATATATTGTCATATTAGTTTTTTTGTATGTGGTTGGTGGTGGAGTACTCCTTCAGCATTGTGAAAGCTGTTATTTACATAATGTATACAAGTCCCAGGTTCAGTACGCCCACTTCCTACCCATGGTGGAGATGGAAGTGTGGTTCTGCTCAAATCACGACAGTGAGCAGGTGACGCCAGCATCTTCGGAGTGGTCACAGTTGTGCACGTTCCAGGATATATGGGAGCACTCCTGCAGGGTTTCCTCCTCACCGCTGCACTTGAGATTGTCCAGCAGAATCTTTCCTGTGCCAGGCCCGAAAAAAGCTTCTCCCCGAGCAGCTGTGGCCTCCCCACAGCCCACATGGTGACATACAACCTGAGCGTCAGGGATGTCCCAAGCATCATCGCACACTGTGCCCCATTCAGAATTTGAGTAAATCTCTACGCGACCCTCACACCGGTGCTGGCCTCCCACCAGTCTCAGTATTCCTGCAAAAACAAAATTAGAATCACAATAATTCATTATTATCTGTATTATAAACCCAGAATAGAGAAATGGGCTGATTTTGTGGTGGCAGAAGATATATTTAACCTACCTTCAGATGGTTCTGATGTGGTGGCAGGTATGTTCTCTGTTGCTCTAAAGTCACGTCCATTTCCAAAGTAAAAATCAGAAGCTAATGGAGGCAGAGGAAAGCAGAGTGAGGACACTAGGTGTTGGCTTAGGCATACTCTGGGAAAGATCAGGTCACACATGTAATACAAATGTTCCTTTAAGGCAACAGACATGCACTTTGCAGCAACTTTGAGGCAGATTAAAAACTGCTCGCTTTAAACATATATAATCAAATGTTCAAAACAACCGAAAACCAGGTACTGTATGTGCTCTCTAAGTAAAAGTACCTCTTTCTGTGCTTTCATTCAGCCTAGAAAGAAGTACAATTTGGCCTGAATGCAGGCGGTGACGTTGATGTGCCTTGACTCATCCTCTGTATTTGTTATGCTCTCTGGGCTGTCTCCTCCTCAGAGTACTACAGTCATGCATTGCAATTGGACAGCTCAGCAGGGCGAGCACAGATGACCCGATACAAAGGAAGTATGAGCTTTTAAGCGGAGTTGATGACTTAAAGGGGTAGTTCAGTGTGCCTAAATTGAGCCTGCTTTAGCCCTACATGGTGTAAGAGAGGTCATGTCAGGTTCTTACGTGCACAGATAACTCCAGCATCCTCATGATGGCGACAGTTGTGCTGACCCCAGCCCAGGTGGAAGCACTGGGACAGCTCCCGTTCCGAGCCACTACATTCCACATTGTCCAGCAGGATGAGACCAGAACCGAAGCCAAAGTGAGACTGTGTCATGGCCCCCATAGCTGGGCCACAGCCTACCTGCCTGCACGCCACGTTAGCGTTGAACATGTCCCAGTCATCATCACACACCGTCCCCCAAATATTTTTGTATTGGACCTCTACACGACCCTCACAGCTATGGTTACCATTGACCAGACGAATGGTTGGTTTGCCTGCATAGTGATAAATAGACAGGTACATCCTTGCAGTTTATTTTCTGATAATTGCAAAACAAGGTATAATATGATCTGCTCAGTCCAATGTTAAAACACACTGTATTTGTGTTTAAAGTTTAATATTGTTACCTTTTGTCTGGGCAATTGTGGTGACGGTTTTTGTAGTTGGAGCGTTGGTGACTGGAATGCTTTCTGTTGCTGGAGGAAAGATTTAATAAATGTTAAGTTTTTTGCGATCATGGTAATGTTAGTCCATTACAGACATCCACCACCATGATTTTTGGTACTGAGGTGGAATACATTTAAAGACCAGGTGGAAGAAATGACTCCCCCTGTTGGTCATTTGTCAGAAGAGCATATTTAATTTTTACTGTGTGGAGGAGAAATCCTCCAAATACATAATTAGCTATGGAGTCACAGAACAGGAGTGCTCCTTAAAAAGTAATCTGTACAAGAAAGAAAAAAAAAAATACAAAATACATACATCTGGAAACATAGAGTAATAAATAAAATAGATAAAAATAGAAATAGTTTTCAATCAATAAAAAAAACAAGATAAATAAATAATAAAAAAATATATAATAAATCAATGAAAATTGTTCATTTATAATTTTATATTATAAATACATACAGACATAAATAAATAAACTATTTTATTTATTTATCTATTTCCACAAAAGCAGTGCGTGCTTGCTTGCGTACATATAAACAGTACTGTGTACTAAGTGTGTTTACCTTCACTGGTGTATGTTACCCAGAGCCCTCTCTGGTTTTCTGTTACCAAAGTAGGTACAGTGCTGGTACCTGGAGTTAATAGAAAAGTAAAATGAAAAATGATTGTACAACTTCCATATTAAATACTACTATTTACTACTACTAATTCTGCTAATACAAATGCTTGAAATCGGATTTGATGTGATTTGTACAAGAGCAAAAAGTCCTGCATTCTTATGTAACATGAGCATTGTTTGGATATGTTTTAAAAAAATAATTTGCATCCGTCCAACTTGTGTTAAAGGAATATTTGTCCCATAAAATGAGAATGCGTATATCATAACCTGATTTCTTCAGAATAAAAAAACTGAGTGATGGATGAATGGATAAATGAGACTTGCATTGTACTGTAAATGTTTAAAAACAGGTGTTTTGATATAGTGTTGCTGTTACTGCTGCCTCCATTTACTTTCATTCATTAATCATTTATAACATTTTTATTTTTAAAGTTTTCTTCAAGAATACAAGGTAACACAGAGTGAGTTATTGATACCAATGGTCATTTTGTTGGTAACATGTTCCTTTAAATGCATGTTCCATGATAGAGAGAAGTGTACCAGTGCAGGTGACTCCAGCGTCCTCATGATGACCGCAGTTGTGTTTGCCCCAGGGCAGGCTTTTGCATCTAGTCAGGTCCGGTTCAGAGCCGTAGCAGTTGACGTTGTCCAGAAGAATCCGACCCGTTCCGTAGCCAAAGTAAGAGTTAGTGTGTGCGTGGACGGCATTGCCACAGCCTAACTGGTGGCACACCACCACGGCATTGTCGAAGCTCCATTCGTCATCACACACTGTCCCCCAGTCTCCCTGGTAGAAGACCTCCACCCGGCCCTGGCAGGAGTTGTATCCATCCAACAGACGGATGGTGCCATCACCTAAACCAAGATGGAGAGGGGGCGATTGATAGGGACTGGATACATTTTCTCTACAACTGATTTTTAGTCTCTGTTGTATTTTATTAGAATCTATATTATTGTCAAATAAAATAGATGCAGGGATTTGAGCATGTTGTGTAGAGGACAGAGGGAACGACCAACAGACATTGATACAGGGAAAGGATAAGGGTGTCGGCCTATACAAAACATATTGTGGCTTGTGAAGTAGGAGAGTTAAGGTGAACGGGACTATACAGCACACAGATGTTGTCATTTAATGCCTCGGCCCAGACAAAAACGCACCTAAGCAGAGACAATAGACATTCTTGTGTGTCTATCATTTTCAAAATGTGCTTCCCTGAAAGAAAGCTACAGTATGAGTAGGGATGGCCTCACTTCACTCCCTGTGGGTTTCAGATATGTCACGTGTTAACACAATTCGGTTCAAGTCTCTCAATATCCTCTTGGGAATTAAAGTTAAAAACAAGCACAACAAAGACAAACCCAGCAAACAAAAAGGACGGCATGGGATTTAAGAGGCCTTTGAGCGATAGTGTTTCTGATTTTGAACATTGACGGGAAAAAAAAGTCTGGTATTTTCTATGGTTGTGGGTTTCGATCCCAGGCCCTGCATTCAACATGTGGATGTATCCTTGGGCAAGATACTTAACCCTGAGTTGCTCCAGATGGCATGGCCACTGTCCATATTTGGAGGAGGGGGGCAACTCATTTCAAACATTTGTGGCTACTGAAGATGAATATGCCAAATGCAGGTGTGGTTTGTGTTATTCAGTCAAATGCTTGGATCTTCCATTAACTCATTTTTTGTACACCAGCAGATATGGAGAAACATAAACATTAATTTGGAAGTTTATTACTGGCAACCTAAAGAATTAAGTCCAATGTTCCCTCTAAACTGGTTTCCCGCTGAGTGCTACCTTTTTTTCATTTGAGGCTGAGCAGGTTTATAGAGCTTTTTCACTGAAAATTGTTGCCTGCTGCATCCAAAAAGATTACGATATCAGAGTGATCCAAAACAGTTAAGTTGCAGGCAGTAAAACCAAAGCAGCAACATACATACAGGTAGTTTATGTAAAAAACAACAACATTATATTGCGGGTTTAAATTGTTAAAGGGAAAAGGATATCAGCAGTCAAAGTCCACTATGACTTCTGTTTATAGTAATTTGCTAGTTTTACTGTTGTTTCACTGCCTAGGGTTGTCCTTTTACACATCTTGTTGTTACTCAAATAGGCCCTTGTCAAATATCTTACATTCATCATATTTGTGTCTGGATTTTAGCCGTTTGTCTTGATGTGTTTAAAAAAGAAAAGTTGGCAGAAGAACAGTCTCATTAAGATAAAAGCAGGGGGTACTTACGTACACCGTGGTTCTCCCGGGGCGGTGTTGTGCGAAAACCCTTTGCCACCACCACTGACGGTTCTAGTAGCAAAATGAAAAGGAAGAAGGAATATTAATCAGTTTATCCTCTATTCTTATCAGGGTTATGCATATAGAGATGATTCCCAAAAAAGCTTTACCTCTGCAGGTAACACCCACGTCTTCATAGTGGTAACAGTTGTGGACGCCCCAGGCCGGAGCGGGGCACTCGCTGAGGCTTCTTTCATTTCCTCTGCAATCTACATTATCGAGCAGGATGGGCCCTGTGCCTTGTCCAAACTTAGAGCTGCTGCCCACCGCCACAGCCACTCCACAGTTTAGCTGCCGACACACCACGTTGGCATCCACCATGTCCCATTCATCGTCACACACTGTGCCCCATGAGTTGTTGTAGAATACCTCCACTCTACCCTCACACCTGTTCAGTCCGTTCACCAGTTGTACTGGTAAGGAAAGATAAGGACACAATGTCTATCAATTGACCATTCACCATCAGTGTTTCAAAACAACTTCTCCCACTGTCTTAGAGCGAGATGAGGATGTTGAGGTTGGTTTGGTCAGAACGATGACGACATGTCCCTGGGGGCAGCGGTCAATATTTCTTGGTTTCTGGTGTAGCTAACAGATATCCAGGCCAAGACCTTCTCTTTCTCTATTGTCTATTAGACAATAACCAATAGTTGTCTGGATTCAAGCCAATGCGTTCCAACTTTGTTCAGCTTTATACAACCAAAGGCCACTCAGATTTGATTGGTCAATACTACTTGGACAACAAACGGAGTACATATCAAAACCAGAACGCTGCCGATACCAAATACTAGAATGGCTGTAGTCGTTTGTCTTCTGTAATACAAAATATCATCAGAAAAAAAAGTCAGCATCCCTACAAATGGGTTAAAAGGGGCCTGATGCACCTACAAGGAATATAAAAAGGTTAGAAAACTGTCAAAGGAACTATAATTTCACGGGAAGACTAGGGGTAGAGGAATGTGAGAATTTGGTTAGGGAAATTATCTGGAACAAACTACCAGAAACCTGCAGGTCTGCTGCAACTCTTACTACTTTTAAATCTTTAAAACTTTTTTTGCTGCTACTTTTAATTGAACTATTCAAATCTTACACTGCACTGTAACCTTTATTCATGTACCTGTGTTATTCATGTTTTATTATCTTTGCTTTTTAATGTTTCTAATGTGTTTTATGCTCTTAATGTCTTTCATTTTTGTAAAGCACTTTGAATTGCCTTGTGTTGAAAAGTGCTATATAAATAAACTTGCCTTGCCTTGCCTTACAAGTTGGTTCAAAGTGTTATCTATTCAAAGGTAGCTTACTGCAACAAAACATACAGATTCTGTTTTAATATGCACATATCTGTACATAAATATTGTAATTGTGCCATTTCACTGAGAAATCTGAGGCCTATTATTTAGTCTGAAGGACATTTTAAATATGTGTTTGGAAAAAAAGGTATGAGAAGCCAGACTTCCATAGCTTTAATGTAATGACAGTTAATAGCAAAAAGTATAATCCTAACAAATTAAGGCACGTAATAAGGCACATGAGTCAACTTGGATAAGAAAGACGTGGATGCAGAAGGGTGGGACATTAGATAGCAAATAAGAGGGGATTAGGGGAATGGAGAACTGTGAAAGTGACCTTGTTTAAAAATCCCCAGGCACTGATCTAGCTTCTGTACTCTCTGTCACCGAGACACAGCCAGTCACTGGTTTTCATACCGAGGTCCCGAATGCAGACATGTCTTACTGAACATTAGTGTCAGGAAAGGTGTGAAATCGGATGTCTTGCTCAATCTTACCTTGGTACTGCATCGACACATCAGCTGAAACAGGAGGGAGGAGAGGATATGAAGGGAAACAGAGAGAGAATACAGACAAATTATTTATTGAAAGAAGGCTTTTGGCCTTCCATACAAAATGGAGTGATTTTTATAAAAACACTTTCATCGAGTGTTTTAAACCGTCATTCACTGCCAACCCCTCACTCCTCTTAACTCGTTGTTAGGGGGCGCAAGTGAACAAGAACTGCTTCAGTAGCAAAATACATTTCTGGCAATTGGCGAGGCGAATGACAAGCTTCACCTCGGCTGTTGCAGGCCACTTTTTGGTCTTTGTTGTGGCACAAGAACTGATACGTAGAAAAAGTTTGGTTTATTTTGAAGCATCTGCAAATTATTTCCATCACTAGGCATGATACAAGATGAATAAGTTCTTGTTTTTAATAACTCTCCTACCTCAGGAGGGACATTTAAGTAAGATTCAACTCTTTGGAAGGGGAGAAGGAGACACACCAGGTGGAGTTCTGCACTCAGTTGGCTGCTATAAATGCTGTCAACAACTATAAAGTAAGAGAAATATATCTGTGATTGGGGAAGTACAACGTCTAATCACATTACTCCCTCTACCTAAAAGCACTTTAATGTAATGCTTTTACAACAATTAAAACAGGATGTAGATATTTTTTTTGCGTATCACGGAGGGATATTGATTTACCCATTGACTGGAAGATGTTTCTGGACCTTTTATTAAGAACATCCTTACGCCTGAAGACAAATATCTCCGATTTCAATAACTGACAATGACACAAGAGGGATTTTTCTACCCTTCACACCCAATGTAGGTCGATTCACAGGCTTCTCCCGTTAGTTTGTGGCATTGAAACACATACATATGAATGTAGTAAAACTATCTATTTTAGCTTCAAGGGCTTGTAACAAATCTGTTTACGGCTTCAAGAATGGCTTCAAGTGCAGGTTACTATGTGGTTTATATTCCAGGGAGAAACAGTTCTTGTTCTTAAGATCATAAAATGATAATGTAATTAACTTAAATATTACTTACTGTTTACAGCTCGTCTGTTTATTTTCAAGTCTCCTGAAATTTGAATACAAAAAACTGTTAGTATGGTGCATTTGGATATCATTGGCTTGGACACAAAGCAGTAAGTTGGTAACAACACATTTGAGTAAATAGCTCTCTTCTGTTCCCTCCCATTTGTTGATCCAGTGAGTGGAATTGATCGTGGTTCACTTCAAACAACTTCAGGGCTTTTAGCCAGCTATCACTTGTTAACAAAGGGCAGGCAGACTTTTAGTAACTCAGCTACAGGGAGTTAAATTGCGGGAACACCTGCTTCTGGAGCATTAATCACGCCTAAAACATGCGTTTCAGCACTGACACACTAGAAACCAACTCATGTGTCATATTTTCAGTTTATGGCATTTACAAACTTTACCCTCGTAACAACTTATATCTAGCATCTCAAAGAAAGTGAGCAGCAAAATCTTGATGGGCCTAATTTAAAACTTCAGATTGAAAAGGCCATCATATTAAAAGTTGAAATATTAAGGACATAGGTATTTGTTTAATGTTACACTAAAAGACAATGGCTTTAGATAATGCTTGGGAATCAGTTTCAATCTTCACACAACCAACTTCTGGTCCTGTGCCAGTGAATGAAAATGTACCCCTGTAGGAAAGGATATACGGTACTTAATAAAGCATTTTTTTTACTTCAAACAAACTTTCAAGGCCTATTATTTTTCCATATACATTTCACATTGTTACATTTAACAATGGTATACTACAATATTGTTGAAGAACCATCCATCCTTTAAATAATGTTGTTCGTGAAAATGCACAGCCTTGAGTTACCTCCATCATGAGGTAATGCTTTTGTTTTGTTTTATTTTTTTTGCCATTATGATTCTTTTTTTAAATGACCCAATTTCCATAACATTTGGTGGAAGAGTGTGGCATGAACCAAGGACCACCCATTTACATTTTGAAGCAACTACACACATTTTTTTCTTCACTTTTGTTAACATTGAGAGATAGAGCATTTGGCCCTTGGGCCTTTCAAGTTAAAACTGTATTTAGACGGTGGTAACTTAAACACGTTTTAGGTCAATTACCAGATGTTACCCATTTCAATTGTTATCAGGCTGTTATGGGTAGTTGTTTTCATCATCACTCAAAAAAAGGTGTGTGTGTCCAACGTTAGGAAAGGGTTGCGATCACGTTATGATGAACTTTTAGTTCAGTTCGCCAAAACTACAGTATGTTAATACGTTTTAGAAAAAGGTCATGGTTTGGCTTGATAAAAGTATTTCTACATTTGTTATTTAACAGTATTGAAAGTAACACTTAAATATTTTAAATACATTATGTAACTTTGCTTACTTGGGTTAAGATGATCTACTGGTGAAAAGTTATGAGTTAATTGGAGAGTTATCATGTAAATAGATTATAACGTTATTTAGAACCTATCTGTAGGTGTAGCACATCGCTTCTAACCATCTACTTTAGACAACCCAGTCTCACGCCATTTCGTGTTATAGTCACGAAATTAATTTAATCTATTGATTCGTGTTCACCATCACGATTTTCGCATTTTTTTCGTGTCACACAGAACGATTTTAAAAGCAATGTATTTCTATTGGTAGTATGTTTCGTGCCTGCACCACGTCTTTTTGTCCGGTCGGGTCTTGGAAGACCGGAAGCTGTGTGGTTCATAAACACATTTTCTTACTCAATATCTTACCCTAAGCCTAACCCTATCCCTTTTATTTTAAATTGTATAATGTCTGAGTTTTTTTGCCGTCCGCGAGGAAAATAAATGGGGCTCAGAGCCTCAGAATACTGAAATCTGTATTTTTTGTCATCTCTTTTTCCTTCTAATTTGTTATTATTTGGTGCAGGCACGAAACATACTACCAATAGAAATACATTGCTTCTAAAATCGTTCTGTGTCAGAATACTGAAATCTGTATTTTTTTAAATCTGTTTTTCCTTCTAATTTGTTATTATTTACATTGCTTTTAAAATCGTTCTGTGTGACACGAAAACAATGGGAAAATCGTGTTGGTGAACACGAATCAATAGATTAATTTCGTGACTATAACACGAAATGCCGTGAGACTGTGTTGACTTTAGAATACTGATAATGACTGGCAATTTAATCATCCAATGCTGTGTGTTCCCTGATCACACAACATGAGATGACCGGTAGAATCCTACGGTCAGGCAGCTTGGAACAAGTGGCCTTGACCTGACCCCCAACCCAACTCACACACTCACCGTGTCGCAGAACACTGACGGCCACCAAGACGAGGGATCCCAGCAGGGACACCAGGAGCCAGGCGGCCGGGTTCCAGCACCTACATTCGTTCTCCATCACACGCTGGCCTCGCATGGCTGCCTCACAGACCAGCCGCCTGCAACACACACATGTACGCAGTCTCATCAAGCTTCCCAAAGTCCTGCACTGCGAGTAAAAACACTTCATAATTATGGTAGACTGGAGTTTGGTAGACACATTTGTACTACTACAAAACAATCACTACATTTTGTACTGGTTCAAAGTAGCCTAATTATAGTATTGGATTGTTTTCTCTGGTGTAGCCCGCAGCTGTTGTTATCGTGTTGTAGTAGGTATTGATGGTAGTTGGAGGTCAGGCTTGGAAAGCCTGTAGCTCAAAAATAAATCGTTTTTAGAGAATATGTGATGCACATATCACTCCCGATGGACATGAGAGAGCTGTTAAGAAAGTTATTTTGGCACACAAACACTTATCAGAGCAAACAGAAACCCCAGTCTCCCAGACATGGACATATGCCATCGAAAAGTTCTGCTGTTGCCAATAATACACCAGGAACAGGGAGTAGAGTTACTTTGCTGTTTTGTAAGCACAAAATGGCCGCCGTGCATCGACCTGGCAGCAGGTAACAGGCCGCAACAAGAGAATCGAGGTAAAGTTTTTTACACTGATGGTTAGAACGGCGAGGGCTTCATTTCAAAGCTTCCAAGCATCATCAACAGCTGGGGAATGCTTGACAGATGTACTGTAGACACCTGGGTCGAGGTTTGCGATAATCAAGGGACTTTCCCTCAGACAGAACATTGGGATTCACTGATGAGAATCAAGCTAGATAGTGCTGTGGAAAGACACTGAACAGATATGATAATACTGCCATAACATTCAAATACTTCTATATTATGAATTGGAATGATTGAATTTCAATTTGAACATATTATTTTAGAGCACATTTCCCAGAAATTAATGGAGTAGTGTGATTAGAAGCATGCTGTCATTAGAAGACCGCAGTGTGTGAGTCCACCTTGGGTTGTTTGTCTCTTCGCTGATGCAGAATTCCCCCTGACCTTACACAGGAATGTGTATTAGGGGATGATGAGGGGAGAATTTGATATTGGCCCCTCGAGATAGTGGACATTCCGAGCCCAGGGGGCACAAAAAGACATTTCTGCTTTCTGTGGTCCCCATCGTCAGACATAAACGCTGCTTCCTGCAATCTGTCACTAGAACCCTCCAAAACGCTTAGGCACCTGATGACACTGCAGGGGCGCCTCTCGTCTCCTTGGAGAGCTGGAGGCAGGGGTAGTAGTGGGGTGGGGGGTAGAAGCTTGTGAACCTACATTTAACCCACAACCTTTGTATGATCATTAGTGACCAAAAAACACTTGACGGCAGCCACAGAATCTCCAGACTCTGCCGTCTCAATCCAGGTCCAGTCCATTTTCTTTGCACTGTAGTATTGTCTGAAGAGGTGCAGCACAGAAGGCCAGAGGCCCACAGAGAGATCATTGTGCGTCCAATTGGGAGGTGGGGGTTTTAACACCAGCACAGCACTCAAGAACCACAACTGTCTCATTTGCAGACTGTACCAACAAACCCTTCGAAACTCTGGGACAAATAGCTCAGTTATGAGGGATGAAAAGTAATCTAGTCCCCAATGTTATGTTTTTCAATACTCCATTCATAGTAGGATGTAGCACAGATCCGCTGGGGAATAATGTTGCCTTTTGTGTCTGCTCTGCTTCCCCTCCCTTCTCACTTCCCTGTGCTGAGAAACAGCTGAAAGATCCAGGCCCCACAAAAAAAAAACATAATGGCTGAGATAAACCGCAGAATAATACTGTCAGTCTCTAACTGAGATAATTATATGACCGATTAACAGAGAACCAGTGCATGGCTACCATTGCCTTTAATGAGCAATATATTTTAATCTAGTAATTTTTATTTGGTAGAACTTGAGTATATATGACAAAAGAAAGACCTCATTTTGAAAATACCAATGTCCTTACGAAAAATAGATAGGCTTAAAGGGTAATAACTTTCTTTTCCTCTGAACATGTACAAGTTTATAGGATTTAAATTCAAATATCTGCCTTCAATAAAACTGTACAGTATGAACATTTTAATTATCTCTATGTTTTCACATTATAATAAATGTTTGTACAAAACAGTGTAAATGTTATAGAAAAGCTAGATTTAATCACATGTCACAGAGCCATGTTCAAATAATCATCATAATCATCTCAAGCAAAGAGAACTTAGTGTTTCATTTAAAAGAAATACATACCTGTTGTGAAAGTATTCTTCTCACCGACAATGGAATAAAATATTTAAAGCAATTATTTCCTTCCCAAAAAAAGGTTAAAAAATGTGTCCTCAGGGCTCAGATAGCAAGCAGTTTCATTCCACAAGTCACACAAAAAACACAGAAAGTTTGTTTAGAAATGCAGACAGGAAACTCAGAATATCCAGCGCTACTTTTTTAAGGTCTTTCATCTCCTTAACCATGCATGACTATAAGTACCTGGCCGTGTGAGTGACAGAGATTACTTAAAAAGCTAAAAAAATACCAGAGCATTGCATGTTGATATTTGTAACGCCCTGTACCTGTCTATGTTTAAAAGAAGCAGGAGTGGCTAAAAAAAGTACAAAGACAATGAGAGCTAACCCTTTACTGGTACCCCTGCATCTCCAGTTTCAGGTAGCGCTCACCGAAGGTGCGGTCCTGCTCATCTCTGTACACTAACAGAGGGAGAGCAGCCTGTGGCTCAGCCTGTGTGTGTGTGCATGTGTGTGTGTGTGTGTGCATGTGTGTGCATGTGTGCATAGGACTCTCCCACCCAGAAGTATTCTAAAGCAAGAGAGGGTTTTGAAGGTTTCTTCTTTTAGTCCCACAGAAAAGTGATGACAAAAGACAAATAATGTTGGATGAACCACAGTGGAATGAAAAGACATCTTGGCTGAGTTCTTAATAAAACAACGCTTGTTACATAACATCATGCTCGGATTACATTAGAACTGTTAAAAGTTCCGACTGCACTTTCAAAAACCTATCATCAGCTGAATGATAAACTGTTTGTAAGGGAGACGCTACAGGTCAACAGGGTAACAATGTTAACATATCACAATGACACTTTCCCAGTTGATTACATACATTACGACTATTTTCTATTACATTTTCAAAAATACTAGAAAAGGTATTCAACAACAGACTGGACGCATTCATAGAAAAGCACAAATTAATCACGGACAGTCAATACGGATTCAGATCAAACAGATCAACATTACTGGCAATTATGGAATCAATTGAGGATATCACAGATGCCCTAGAACACAACAAATATGCAGTAGGGATTTGTATAGATATAAAAAAAGCTTTTGACACAATCAACCATGACATCCTACTACATAAATTAGAAAGGTATGGTATCAGGGGTATAGTTTTAGACTGGATTAAAAGCTATTTAAGCAATAGACAGCAGTATGTGAAGTTGGGAAATGACTGTTCTTCATGTTTGGACATTGCTTGTGGTGTCCCCCAGGGGTCAGTGTTGGGTCCTAAACTGTTTATACTGTACATCAATGACATCTGTAAAATATCCAATATACTGAGGCTAGTTGTATTTGCTGACGATACAAATATATTCTGTTCTGGGGAGAATTTAGAACAGCTAGTGGAGAACATAGAAAATGAAATGCACAAATTAAAAACATGGTTTGACAAAAATACACTATCATTAAACTTGAGTAAAACAAAATGAATGCTGTTCGTTAAACATAGAACAAAAATACAAATGCAAATAAAAATAGATGGGTTTGAAATTGAAAGAGTCCATGAAATTACATTTCTTGGGGTAATAATAGATGACACAATAAGTTGGAAATCATACATAAAACATGTACAATCAAAGCTGTCGAGAAGCATTTCCATACTAAACAAAGTAAAACAAGTCCTAGATCAGAAATCACTTCGCATTCTCTACTGTTCACTAGTCTTACCATATCTGAATTACTGTGCTGAAATCTGGGGCAATAACTACAACATTTCAATACATTCAGTATCTATTTTACAAAAAAAAGCCATACGAATCATTCACAATGCCAAATATCTTGATCACACTAATGCATTATTCCTGCACTCAAAATTGTTAAAATGTACAGACCTGGTAGAATTCCAAACGGCACAAATCATGTTTAAGGCAAAATATTACGTTTTACCAGGAAACATCCAAAAAGTATTCACTCAACGAGTGGGGGGATATAGTTCAAGGAGACCATTTCAATTCGAATGCATAGGGTCCGTACAACCAGAAGAACATTTTGTATCTCAGCCTGTGGAGTGAGACTATGGAACAGTGTGAACGTGGAGCTAAAGCGATGTCCAGACATAAACCAGTTCAAGAGGAAATACAGTGAAATTATTTTCTCGAGGTACAGGGATGGGGAGGGTGTTTGACTGTATCTATCTATGTGTATGTGTGTGAATGTATATGTGTATATGTATATGTGTATATATGTGTATGTGTGTGTATGTGTATATATATGTGTATATATGTAAATCAACAAGTAAAGCAGATTAATAATAATAATAACAATAATAATTAATAATAATCATTATTATTATTATTTAGAATTATTTATAGATTATAGATTAGAAATAAATAATTTAGGGACAAGGGGGTGAGATTAAATAAATTATACTTCTTCTCACTCCTTTTCGAACACTAGATGTGGGACTGTTTATGTTGCTAATGCTGTTGTTGTTGTAAATGTCATTTTGTTTTGTTTTCTTTAACATGACTACAGTATGCACTGCAACATTTCTTTGTTTATTGTAATTACTTATTTTACTTGTTCGAAATAAATTTATCAATCAATCAAATCAATCAATCAATCAAAAATGTTTTCTGAAATCAAATGTGCAAATAAGGTATTAACTTATTAAATATGTTGCATTTGCATACTCCTTTTCATATTTCCAGAACAGAAATCTCAACATTGCATAGAGCTGGGTTCAACACTTTTTATTAATTTGAGTGTTATATTAAAGTCAGGGCTTTTTTAACAACAGAAGTTTGGATATCTCTTTTTCTCCCTCAATAAATCTGAAAATGTTCCAAACACCTCAGCCTTAAAGAATAAAATGTTTTATTATTCATTTTATGAATGATATATGAATATACCCCTCTGAAAACCTTCAGAATATTGATAGGAATTGTACTGGAAAGTGTGGTGTGTCTAAGTGCTACTGAAGTAGAGAGTTTTGCTCCTCGAAAAGAAATAATTTTGAGAAAACTTTACTAACAGAAATCCCAATGAAACATCCCAACATTAAGAAAAACATTTTGTATTTGAAGGTCTTTTGAAATGCAATGGCTGAGTTTGCAAATAATACATTATCTAATGCAAAGTTTTAGAGAATTTAGGAGAAATATACAGGCACAAACTGTCCAAGTGTAGTACAATAAACACCAAAATGTGTTTTTTGGATGTTTTCTTTCCAATAGTCTGAAAGAAATTGAAGCAAAAACTCAAAAACTACCCGTGCAAGAAAAAACGATGTTTTTTCCTAAGTGTCTTGCCTTAGATAGATAATACAGTATAGCCCCTGAAAGAAATGTTACCCCACAAACATTCAGTGAATTCCTGCAACCTTGTTTGTATTTCCTTTGAGAGGCTTAATGTGTTTCAATGTATATTTCACACGCACATTATACTCTGTAGTCCTTTCAATGTAGCCTCTCTGGATTGTGCTGCAGACAATTGCTTCTTAGCACTGATCCTTCCTGAGCCGTGCAGGCTGTCCATGGCCATTGAAAGGCTTTTCAAGGACCAATTCATGGCTACTTCCTGGGGTGTCACCCGAATCATTGGTTCAGCCAAAATACTGGAATCCGTTGCTAGCTTTCGAAACATCCTTCATAGGATTGTGAAAACACAACACCAAACAGCCAAGTTAGCAATTACTAATAGTCCTGTCTTGCCCTGAAATCTTGTCATTGCGCCTTTCTCTTAACTAAACAGCTAGTGAAGCTATAGTCACCAGCAAACAAGCTTAGTTTTAAGGTGGGAATCTAACAAAGCAACAAGCAATAAAACGCTGAAATGCTTTGCAACCTGCCGGGAACTTAGTTTCTATGCTAGTTTGTGACTACAAATGATCTCTACCGCATAGAAGTCACCACATCAAAAATGGATTGACGGATTGTGTGTAGACGTATAATAACCAGCAAGGTCAATTTACAGTATACACAACTCAAATAAAAAAAGATATACAATTATATATAATTATTCATGATTGTGTTTAATTATTCTTTGATACAATTTCCATTTAATTATTTGTAGTTGTCTTCTATAAAAAAAAACACACAAATGTGTTCTAAGCATTTGTTGAAGGGTGCACATCTTACTGGAGATATTCAGCAGTGATTAGCTAATTAGATGTGTTAGTGTGTTGATGGTTTGGAGAGGTAAGCTATTGTGGGTGTTTTTGAGGTATTTTTTTACATCACTCCAACGGTGCTGACAAGAACACTTTTGTTCTCTTGTTATCATGAGAGTCTTGAATTTGAAATTGACAGAATTAGTGCAGCCTGACATCATGTTACCTTTGTCTTGGGCAATCACTTTGAGGACGGTCAAGAAGACTGCAGTATTCTGTACCGCAGGTGGTTGACACTGAAGGTACTATGTGGAACATTCATAACATCCTTGCCATTAATACCCTGTTGCTCAAGCTAATGCTTGCAATAGGACTTCTAGGCTCAAACAAGCTCCCTAAACATGGGCCAAAACAGTGACCTGACATTAGATTACAATCATACATCCTCTTAAATAACTTTAAACTCCTATGTTTTTAGGAACATTGGGTCCATGCTTGCAGTTTGCAATTTACTTTGATAGGCTACTTTTCTCCTGAATTTTCCTGTGGGGATTAATAAAGGTTAATGAATCCTGAACAACCAGTGCCAAATCCATGCCTTGTAGTTTAGAGACAGCCACCTGGCAAGTAAGCAAGTTGACAGCTACTTTTCATTGCAGTTTTACACCCCTGCATTGAGTTTATTGTTGGCTAAACTAATTGTTTTAAGTAAGTATCATGGATAACATTAGCTGGTGGAGTAGGCTAATTTGACAAGCGAGCCAACTAGTTTATCCACTCGGATAGTATTTTGATAGCAATAATGTTAGCATTCAAGCAAGCTAGCGCTAGCCAGCTAGCTCAAGTTTAGCTATGCTGCATTGATCTGCCATTGGTTGCTTTGTAAAATTAGCTGATAAAGTAATGTTGCCAGGGCCGTCCCTCCCTACAGGCCGATCATGCAGACTGCGTGGGGCCTCACCTTGTGGAGGGGGCCTCATCTTGCCTAACATAAAGGGTAGGTCTAAGAAGTTTCAGGTAAGAAAATATCTGTGCCGTGCCAATGCACGGCAGGGGTATCATCACTAAGCCTCAATATAACGGTTGACTCAAATGTCTTAGAAATAAAAGGCTGTAATACAGCACTTCACTGCCTCAGGTCATTTGGCCTGTTGTGAATGAAACCAATTTGCAGAGGTTTCATTCGAAAAGCTGTTTTCACACATTAGACTGTCAAAAAAGATAAAGGCCATAAAAGACACTTTATTTTTGCCCAGATTCAGATCAAACCTATACCAGCAAGTTCAGAGCAGTGACGTTACAGCAGGCAATGATCAAACCTTTTTTTTTTTTTGTGAATCATTTATCAACCTCAATCTATTCGCACCAAAATATTAGGCCTATCCAGTAGTCTGCCACACACACACACACACACAACACACACACACACACACCACACACACACACACACACACACACACACACACACACACACACACACACACACACACACAGACAGACAGACAGACAGACAGACAGACAGACAGACAGACAGACAGACAGACAACCAAAGAGATTACCCCCCCCCCCCCCCCCCGATAGACAGAGATGTGTGTTAGCTGAACAAAGGTATTAGTGAGTACTTTTAGGAGTATATGTGTGAAATACACTGATAACTTTGTTTAACTTATTAAGGTGATGCATAAGCAGGCATTGGTCATTTTGCAGTGCATTTGCTCTCCCTTTCTGTTTCTGCCTCTTCCCTACAGGGTTTCCACACGTGCACAGAGATGGAAATAAGAGAGGGAGCAGCCCAAGGACACCCTGATAACACAGAGTGGTATGCTAGATCTCTCTTTCTGTCTATCTCTGTCTCTTTCACCCTCTCAGTGAACACAAACATTAGGTATTCACTCAACTAGTGTAAGTGAATAATTTCAGTAGCAAACCACAAACTTATAGACCAGATGAAACATAATACAAAACTACAGTAAATACTAAATACCCAGTTATATTCTTATACAAAAGCCACCCAGTGGTCAGACATGGTATGCTTTGCCTCTTTGATGGCTTTTGGCAACATGATATTGAAACGGTATGTACATACCTTTGAGGATTTATACATTTCAATTTCACTGGCTATGCCAAATAATGAAATCTCAGGAAGCATTTTTATCAAGGAGCAAGGGATCATATTAAACAGTGCATTCCTGTTGATTGTATCCTAACATACAGAAAAAAAGTGAGACATAAGATTGGTATAAGAGTAATAACTGTACAATAGTGCACTGAACAATATTTCATTTTATGATACAACTATTATCCAGATATTCTATATATTTTTTATTCTTTTCTCTGCCATCGTCAATTAGCTACACCTTCAGATTTGGTTTCCAAATGAACTGGTTGATCATTTTCATCTTCCTTTTTACAACGGGAAAGATGGCCTATGATCCTTAGATATTTTGGTGGACAGATAGGGAACGGAAAACGTTATGAGTTATGAATCGTTCACTAAGAGGGTTCTTTTGAATTTAAGTATGTAACACTCCTGTATGTGATACTCTCCAAAACGGACACATTTAAGGCTGTCTTGTTTGTGTGCGAATGAGCAAAAATGACTAATGATTTGTTGTAATAAATATTACTGTGACCAGAATGACTCATACAAGCATAAAGGCTCCAATTCCTGATTAAAGGAAAGGTAGGGTGCAACCTAATCCTCATCCATTTGATCAGGTAACCTAAAGTAAGGAGACAAACAAAAGGTGTCATGGTGATATCTATCTCCCTTTACTAGACATTTACTCCTTAAATGTATGCTGCTGAATCTTATCCGTCCACTAGTCACCACTATTGAGTATTCCTTCCTTCCTTCCTTCCTTCCTTCCTTCCTTCCTTCCTTCCTTCCTTCCTTCCTTCCTTCCTTCCTTCCTTCCTTCCTTCCTTCCTTCCTTCCTTCCTTCCTTCCTTCCTTCCTTCCTTCCTTCCTTCCTCATAAGCTATTTGCACACCTGTTTCTGGTTTCCTTATTCCTTTTTCTTTTAATATCCTTTGTGCCTGCCAGTTGTTCTGCATGCTTTGATTTAGTAGACTTATTTTTAGTTCAGCATGCTGTGTGTCTGCTGATCTCATCCATGGCCTTTGCCAGTTATTCGAAACGGTGACACAGTCAGTGCAATGATACACACACACACACGCACACGCACACGCACACGCACACGCACACGCACACACACACACACACACACACACACACACACATTGGGAAAACGATTTCAAATGCATCCCCACAGAGGACATAATTAGAGCACATAAAAACAAATCTATTAACCCCTTCTACACTGTAGTACACATTTATGACAAATAAAGAACATAATGTAGGTGGTGTATGGCCTTCTGTCTGCCAACTTGACCACCAGCTATTGATTTAGTACTTAAGGATCATTGTGGTAATACATTCAATATAAAATATTAAAATAATTGCCTCTTTATGATGAATTAAAATAATATCCAATACAATGATCTTTACTATTAGGGTATCATCATTGAGGGATAGTTACAAACCTCTGCACTAGCAGCAAATAGCCACTAGTGGTCATCCATCTCACACAAGTTGGGTGGGTTATGTGGCCTTCAGGTGGGCTAGTATTGTCGAAACGCATCACAACCTTACACGTTTGTTATTAATACAGACACTGAAGGCAGAACTATCTATTTGAACTTTTAATTTTGGAAGAAGAGGAAAAGGCAATTGGTAGACGGGGATAAAATAACTTATTTGAGATGAGATCTGAAAACTTTGACACACAGCACATAACTATTTTTCTTGTATTGTTGCAGGATATATAAATCTATCAAGCCTGAATTTCAAAATTGACTTTTAAAAGTTTTTTTTGGCATAACGAAGGTGATTTAAATGCGCGATAAGTTGTACATAAGCGTGTTGCAGCGGGTCTTTAAACGATGAGACAAGACACGTGAAGACGTCCGTGAAGGCAGCACGGTGTGCACGGGCCAGCACCATGACGCTGGGCACAGACCGTGTGTGACCATAGTGTGTGACACTCCGAGATAAACAAACCCCTTCGTGCATGACTCCGTGGACCTTTAACAACTAACGTAAACAGTCACAATGTTGTCACAAAGCTACATTTAATGTCAACAAAAGTAACTCGGTTGGAAAATAGTGACTCCGTTGATGAAAACTTAAGAGTTGAGTCCGCTGGGAGGTGAGTTTCATATAAGTTGTTATAACGGTAAGCTAACACTGGCTAACAGGTTTAGCTAGTGGTCAGTGTTGTTCATACTCTATCATACTGCTTTTACGTTATTACATAGCGTTTGCTACATTAGAACCGGCTGCTTGAACAAATATTAGGTTGCTAAATTATGCTAGTTAATTAGCTGTGTACCGAAGCCCCCCACCACTGTAATATGAACCGTACCATATGAATGCCACTACATTGAGTTAGTGATGGGTAAACTTGTCTACTGTAATGATAGCCACTGTGAGTAATGTGGCATTGCTGTTCTGCTTTTTATTGACCGGTTCACTTGTTGCATGCCCAGGTCTCTATTTGCTCCTAAGCATAAGCTCTGTTAATCGCACCTTTGTTTGTTTTGTTTATATTTGCTCAGCTGTTTAAAGGTAGTTCTGTCATCCATCTTTATCACATGAACATGTGTTAATTTGTCCTGCTTTAGATAGAAATAAACACAAAATGTTACGTGTATATTTACAGTGTTTATTTTCTGCGAAGGCATGGACACTTTTGTGTATCTTCATAAACTATCAAATTATGTTTTGGTTTGACTGAAAATATCCTAGGTAGCTGCCACATATTCCTTTGCTCACTGCATAGAGAGAAACATCAACATATATATATATATATATATATATATATATATATATATATATATATATATATATATATATATATATATATATATATATATATATATATATATATATATATATTGGTTAATTCATTGTGCTTGCTATCTGAAGCTCTTCAGAGTGATGCCCTATCATTTTCTGAATGTTCCTTCTAACAGAGATGACAAATACTGAAATCCTTACCACCTTCCACTTTGCTGAAACATTTCATTTCTTGTTATAACATTCATCTAAGACTCCTTTTCCATTTCTCTCACACCCTCCTCTGTCTCATCTTTCCAGTGACTTGGTGTGATAATTGCATGCTGCATGTCTGATAACCATCCATCGCCTCACTGCACTTCCTCCCAGTTCTGATGCATGGCCCCCTCATTAGTAACGAGTACGTCTCACCGTTCCTTGCATGTTGTGCTGTGAGAGTGGCATCATGAGGAAGAACTGGGATAACCCTCTGGCACTGTCATCCAAGAAAACATGCCAGGGCCAGAAAGACTATGGACGAGAGCTACAGAGGCTGCGTGCTGTTTGGGAAGCAGAGAAGAAGCACACGCAGCGGGCCCGTGGTGAAATCTCTGTGGAGCTGAGGCACCTGCGTGAAGGAGCAGAGAGGGAACAGCAGAGGGCTGTGAAGGAACTGTTGCTCAGGCGAGGGTGCAAAAAGGATTGTCTCGCTAACAACAAGGTGAACATTAAAGACAGTAGACGTCACACTGAGGTCGAGTCCACAGATAAAGAGGCGTTTTGTTTGTGTGGTGGAGAAACCTACACAAAGCTACAGCAGTTATTGCTGACGCTGTATGAGAAGATAAATGGTGAGCAAGCAGTCTATAAGTTGCATCACAGGCAGGAATTTGAGGTAGAAAAGGCGGTCTTCCTCTGCCACCTGCTAGATGCCCATGGAAGACTGTTGCAGGGGAGGCAAAGAGCAGGACAGCTCAGCTCCATTTCTAACAGTCTCTCAAGATCTCAGGGAGGTGGTACTAACTCCTATCAGACCAAGCCTCTCCTAACCTGCTCCAGAGCCTTGCCCCATACTGCCTCCCACTCCCCGAAGAAGAACACCAAACAAGATCTGAGGGAGCTGCCTTCAGGGAGGGCCGTCTGTGCAGCTGACCCCTGCCCCTCCACTGCAGTCGTGGACACCTGTCAGAGCGGCTCGCTGACTATTTGTCACCCTCACAGCGCTCCCCATGCAGGCTGGGACCACCAGCCCCCCTACTGCGCTGAGTCCTCTGGGTCAGATGAGTCATCGCCCCTCAAATGCATGGACAGAAACATGGAGGTAAGCTATTTGATATCTTCACATTCTACACATTCTTCTAAAATTAAGTTCGTAAGAAAGTCAAGTATTTCTAGCATTTCCTCTGGTACCCAATCAGCAATTGCATCAGTGTGCATTTAGGTTTGTGACAGTGTTGGAATATAGAAGTGTAGTAGTGTATGACTCTGAATCCCTAAGGAACTTGTGGCATTGCAATTATTTTCGACAATATATTTATATCTCCTCATTCTGTCCGTCTGTCCGTCCATCCCATTCTCTATTTAACGATATTTAAGGATTGCTTAAGGGAATTCCTTTCAATTTTCCCACAAACATCCACTACTGAATGATGAACACTTTTGATTAAGTGGCAACATTTCAAAGGTCAAGTTCACTGTGACCTCACAAAAAAAGAAGTTTTTGCACAGGAATTCATATGCACATTTTTCACACAAATCACACACAATTTCACACAAATCTGAAATATGATAAACCATAATAACTACATTTTAGAGAGAAAAAAACTGCCACTTCAATGATTGGCGGAGGAAACAAAAATCAATTAAGACTTTTTATTAATGGATCCTTGGGATAGCCTGAACCAGGAGACGTTATGATCACAGAGTCCACATTCTATGCAAAACACCTGAGGCCATTATGATAGCATCTTTCTGTTATTTTGGCAAATGGTGCATAGCCAGCAGCAATAACATGGAGAACTGAACAACTGGTAACATTTCTATAAAGAGTTTGTTTACGTTGATAAGCAATTGGGCTCAAGCTAGTACAAACAAAAAGAGGTTGCCATTATGATGTACAACTTATTTAAAACAACTGGTGTGGTGTGGTGCAAAATATATGGTGATGTCAGTGCTATGGTTGTCAGAAAATAAACATTGTGCATGGAGGAGGAGTTGGACTATGTGGGTGGATCTGTTTATGCCTGTGGTTGGAGTGGCAGAAGTGGGTCAGCGTGTTTCCATCTCTTAAATTTTGGATTGAAGTTTTGATAGAGAGGAAATTGAATAATTAATCAAAGCTCCCACTGTGTCTAAGCAGCGGTGCCAACTTGCATCAGGGCGAAGTCAATGTCTTATGGGAGTCCCCTTTTAACATGAATGGACTCCATTATTGATGTGAGTTTTGAATTGTCTTTTTAAACTGTTTAAAAATGCATCTACTGTAATACACTGTAGTATATTTACATTACATTACATGTTACTTGTTAGACGCTTTTATCCAAAGCGACTTACATACTCAATACTGTGGGCAATCCCCACAGGAGCACTTTGGGATGAAGTGTCTTGCCCAGGGACACAACGACATGCTGACTGCAGTGGGACTCGAACTCGCTATCCCTTGATTCGAAGTCCAGCACACTATCCACTGAGCCACAGCCTCCCATATATCCCCATATATCTTTTATATAACATAAACCTGAAATTTTTTTCATTTCTAGAATGCCACTTTTTTTGCTTTATCTTCATAAGCTGTTGGATAATTTTTTTGTTTGTTTTTGTTTTAAGATTACATCGAGGAAAATCAATTATCGTTGTATCGTTATATTGTTGTATAACAACACAGCAACAGGCAATTAGGAAAAGGAAGAGTGACCTTGGTGCATCAGGATTTTGATCGTATAGCTATTAAAGTTTCCTGTTTAGCTTTTCGCTAAATTCCAAACGATCTTACAGAATGCTCTTTTTCCTTCCTGTTCTAATTTAATGGAGAACATCCAGCATCCGGCTTTTCAGGCTCATGACAGCCAGACAGGGAGACCTTGTCAGAATATGTCAGTGTGAAAGGATGTCAATACCGCTGAGCCATGATGGACCTGTCTGCAGCTCAAATCTGTACGGAGCATACAGTATGCTGTTTGACATGCATAGGGTTATGCTGACTAGAAGCTGTTCTTAGTTTTATGCTCAGTGAAATATCCTGAATGTTTTCTGTGTACACATGTGATAAGTACACATGCTTGTTCCAGTCTTCACAATTAATTTTATTTAGTTTTTTTATTGGTTGTTTTCCCTGTCAGCACTTCTATTCCCTTTTTAGAGCGTAACATATTCTCAGAGGAGCTGAAGCAGAATAGAAATAATGCTCAGTGCAGTTCACGTCAGGGTTGGTTTCAGTCTTTAGGCTACTATAAAGTCATGGTCTTGTGAGCACGCTGTAATTAATAAGGGAATATACTGAAGCTGTAAAATGCAGGGCTAGGGGGAACTAAGAAGCTCATTTCTTTGGGCGTGATTTGTCTAGCCCAGACTCTTCTTTCTTCTTTTAACCTCACTGTCTATGAAAAACAACCTTTTCTTCTGTTACTGAGAGAACATACTGTACATGGGTATAGGAACACTTAGATGAGTATGAACTTTCATTTTCACAAGTGTGCAACTGTAAACAATCTCTGCGTTGAAGGAATTGTAGAAAAATGCTAGTGGAATTTTCTTTTGACAAATGTCTATGTTTGACTTTGCAGCACCCAGGCATGGGGTTTCTAACATTGCCCTTTAAAGGCACAGTAGGTAGATTGATGATCCTCTACCACTTTAGTAAGCTTTGTGTCTGCAACAAAGCACGCACAAAGATTGAAAGTGCATTTTGAAATGCTGTAGAGGAGTTGGGTTGGATGTAATGAGTGTTACAAATTTGACAATGTGCATATTTATATTTTATATTTCGGCAGTTCCAAAGGGCTCTTTAAAAAGGATTGCCTGCTTTCCTGGGGCAAGTTAAATGCCATGTTACGCTAGTAAATTAAAACACATAAATCTTTCTGGAGCTGATAATGGAAGCAGTTAAGGAGTCAGACATATCTTTAGCATTGCTCATTTATAGTACTGATTGGACACTCACAGGGAAATGGAGTGAGATACACATGCTTCACTAACAATATCATGGCTGACTGATGATTTAACCAGAAGCTATTCCAAATAACTTAACAAAGTATTCCCCCTCCCATGCCAAGTTCTGGTTGTGTTAAGGCGATTTATTAAACTGCTTTGCACATTTTATAGATGGCTAGAGATAGATGAATGATGATACCTTCCAGCAAGGCTTCAATACATGTTACTTGTAAACCATCATTGAGTTGTGACAGAATTGGCTATACACTTACTGCTTTATTTGTTTTGTTAATGTCCCTGCCCAGGGCTAAATGATGAACACATGAGTAGCCTTAAGTACCTTGTTAGACCTCTTATTTCTTCTCTGGGGCACAACTGCAGTAAAACATCAGAATTAGTCTGAACTCGACACACTTGTTCCGCCTGCCTCCTGCAGCCTCCCTGTGTTGCAGTGTGTACCGCCTATTGATTGTTCAAGAGGCAGCCAACATCATTCCAGCGTCATCTCCATGGAAACGAGCCCTAGTCGCGGTAATGATTGGGCCCCGTCTCAAAGCCTGCCTTTTTGTGATAGGACGGTGGAAGCAGTCCTCCCTACCCCCTCCTCACAGCGACACTCGCCGTCTTACACACACACATTTCTCCCTGCATCCTCTTTCTTCACCTTTATTGCGCTGTAACCGAGATGGGATTAACCAGCCTGTCGAGTCTTGTTGCATCTGGATGAAATGCTTTTTGACACAGCAGCATCAATGAGGACGGACTCCCAGCTGAAGATGCAACATGCCACCCACATCTCAGCGTCACTGAGAGAACGGGGACCGGATTGAAAACCCCTTAGTTGAATCAATTCTCTTTTTTGGTTGTTTTTTCCTCCATCGCACGTCTTTTCTTGTTTGCTATTTCGTTTGGGCCTACATGCACTGTTTCAGCGTTACGCACGTTAAGTGGACTGCTGTGTCTTTTCCGTTTTCTGGAACTAGTTATGACGAACCCCCGTCAGACGGCAGAGCCATAAAGGCATGACAAAACTGTCTTTGACAGCGCAGTGAGCAGGACTCTGGATCTGAATGAACTAGAGAAAGCTCAAGAATGCTACCAGGACGATGACATTCACTAAATTGCCTTCACCACACATGAGGCCGAGAATATGTAAGGTCCCTTTGGAGCTGATTGTCCTCATTTTGGAAAACGTCACAGCGCAGAGAGGAAGGAGGACCTGATTAATCTTTTCTAGGTTCTCCCTGGATATGCCACAGAGACTCTTGCTTTAAAATGGTTTAGGCAAGGAACTTTACCAGTGCTGTTTTTGTTAAACTCTCCCTTTTTATAAGGATTTACTTATTTGGCGCTTGAGGTTGAGTGACTGACAACCATGACAATAACAGTCTTTTGCCTGGCTTCAGACACCTTACTTTAGCTGTAAACAAACCACTACAGCTTATGAACTGCTGGAGAAAGGAAGGACAGTGACATCTTTATCATTTTCAAGTCAGTCTGTCACAGCTGATCCATGTAATTCTCCACCAGCAAATGAAAAGTCTGAGATGGCCCGGTCTTGGCTGGGCACCTCATTTTGTCATATCGATCTCGTCTGTGCTGTTTAACTTTGACACAGAGTGATGTATGACCTGTGCACTCGGCCTGAGCAGCCAGAGCCAGCACCAGCACACACAGACATGGAGAGCCATGAGGTGGACCAAGCTCTCGGGCTACAACAGTCGGAGTTGACGGGGCCCGAAGAGCAGGATAAGCAAAATGGGCTTGTGGACAAGGCAGTCCCAACCACAACTAATATCACAACTACATCGTTGTTAGGGAAAAGGCACCACTCACTTTATGCAAACCTCAATGGTTTTGAAGTTGAAGGCGTACGCAAGGTGAGTGTGGAACATTTGTTGAGTTTCCAGGATAACTCTTGATTGTTAACCTAACAATGTTTGTGGCCTGGAAACATCCAAGAGGCGTTCCACTAGCAAGTAGCAGCCATACATGTATTTTATGATCCCCAGTCTTTAAAAAAAACAAAAAAAAACATTTTGATGGCAGATTTTAAACCAATACCTAAACTATGGTTGTGTCGTTTAAATTGCACACTAAATTACGGTTGAAATGTCTTGATATTAAAGTTACAGCATTGTTAGGAATATGTTTTTTACACTGATACATTCG